TTATAATTATATATTATTATTATAAATAAATAATTATAAATAAATTTTTTGAGCTTCCCATATTTTATTTGTTCAGTTAATTCTATCTGTACATGCTTCTTTCATACATATAAATATGCTGCTACATTGCTTTTTAGCAACTAAAAAGTCAAACTTTCATTTTTCCTGTTTGCCTATTTAAATGTTAGTGAGTCATTAATAAATAGTTTCTCACTTTTTAATAAGCCATCAGTAAATGTATAACCATTAATAAGTTACTGTTCCTACATGTCATTGTGGAAGAAGAAACTGATTGTTTCAACATCATTCAGTGTATCCCTACTGGGATCAGCCTGTGTTTTGGAGACATTTTTAAAATTATTAAACTCAATTTGGGTCAACTCCAAACTGGCTTTGAAATCGTGGACTACTTTTTGTTTTCTGGTTAAAATCAACAAATTAAAATATCTCCCTCCTGCTGATCCAGCGGCTTTCTGCTGATAAACTGTTGGAGAGCTCATTAGGTGGCATGGTAAGTCAGAGTGCGCCAGAAGAAGCCAACTGGAGGCCGAGAAAATCCAAACAAGAACAGCAAACACTGGCCCAAAGTAAATCATTGTTCCTCTCCTTAAGTTTGTGCGAAAATATTAGTGATTAACTTGGGATTCAAAAGACAAGAGATAATAATATATGTTTCTTTCATCCTAAATATCCTGTCTTCAGTGTTGGGTAGTAACTGATTCTCCTTACATGTAGAAGGCTCTCAGAAGGCATCAGCTGTAAATGCTGGATATGCTAAATTAATTTTATTTTCAAATCTAAATCTACTTTTAATTGTATATGGTGCAATATTTTTAGAATTTGATGATTTATTTATATACTTTGTGATAGGTGTAAGTTCAATGAAAAAAGATAAAATAAAACAATGTGTTGATTTCTAATGTCACGTTTAGACATTTCTATCCAATGCTTTACTAATGTCCCCCAAGGATGTAATGTTTTTGGGTTCCAGGCACATATTGATATATGTGATTGTTTGTGATTAAATCAGCAGATATTTCTGCCAACCCTTAAAGCTGCAGTAGACAAGTTTAAAAAAAACAAACACTTTTTGTATTCCAACAGTAGTAGTATGTGACAGATAATCTGTGGAAAAAATCTGGTTCCCCTCGCTTGTCTAGCACTCCTAATTGCATTTGTAAGAATCCACCGGGCCTGGACAAAAACAATCAACCAAGACACTTTGGGTTGGAAGCGTTGATTGTTGAGTCCCATTCCTAGGGTTCCAAAACATCTGTATTTGACGCCCTAGGAATGAGACTCAACAATCAACTATTTTTCTTTGCTCTAATTGGTTCTTTTTGTTCAGGCCCGGTGGATTCTTAGGAGCACTAGGAGGAGCCAGAGGAACCCCATTTTTTCACAGACTATCTGTCTCGTGTTCTACTGTCAGGATATAGTGAAAGTTTCAGCAAATATGAAAAAAGATATTTTTATTTTTTTTAATTATCTACTGCAACAGTTTCCATGTCACCCTCTGGCCACACCATGAATATTTAGATCCGCCCCTAGCAATGCAATATGTAATCAGTGACTGTCATTACATTACATTTAAAAGTAATGGGACTCAGTACTGCCTGTTCATCAGAATCAGAATCAGAATCAGAAATACTTTAATAATCCCCGTG